TGTTCATGCAGCCTTAGTTATAGTGACCAAGAAACTAAACATGATCCCCTTCCAAACAGAACATTATGTAGCCATTTTTTTTAACAGTGATTCTATAAGAAGGTAGGGAAAAGTCCACAATGTAGATGGTGAAAGAAAAGGACCAATCAGTGCACATATGGAAAATAGACCTAGGAGAGTAGCACATGCAGAATATTAAAATACTTACGTTGGTGTAATAAGGAGGGATTGCACTTTTGTTTTCTTTTTAACCTGGCTTTAAAGTTGTTAAATTGTTATTTTACTGATGTAGATCGAGCTGAGTGGGAAATGGAACCACTGTGTATAAGGGTCATGGAAGGAGGAGAGAGAAACCTGACAGTGCAGGAGGGAGGGGCCAGGCGTTGGCCGAGGGGCGCTGCAGCTCTGCGTCTCGGTTCAGCAACACAGCAGGATTTGGCTGGAAACGGGGGTCTAAAACTGGAAGCAATGTCATGCATACAAAAAATGGATAATATTTCGTGGATCCTCAGGTGGAATTTTTAAAGGAAGAGCCCCAGATAGTTCCTTTCATGTTGGTAATTGAAAGGATTTTGAAAGTAGGCGGCATTATCAGAAAGAAAGCTAGTTATATTTGCTGAGTGAGCTGTTTTTCACAGTTGACGGAAAAGCTTCTGCGGAGGACCGGTCATGTTTCGCAGAACATTGATGAGGATAAAATACTGCATGGCCCAAAAAATGGGAGTTTGGAATGAGCAATTTCTCCCGCTGTTAGAGCACAGTGAGGAAACGGTCCAGTCCGTTACAAACGACAGAGAAGCCCAAGTCCTGAAGCCTTTCGTTAGGTATACGAAGAGGACTTCAGGGAGGTGAAATCATGAGCTACTGGGCATCGTGAGAGCGGGCGTTCTGGAAGTGGTCTTTAGTGAGGGTGTCAAGGGAAGCCTGAATGCCTGTACAGGTAGAGCTGCAGAAGATTGGTCAGGAAACTGCTCGGTAGAGGTGAGCAGTGAGTCATCATGGACATTACCCAAATGGCTCACAGTCCCTTAGAAGGGATGGTTAGTGCCACAAAATCAGGCATTTGTTTTTTTAAAAAAAAATCATCCTACACACAAAAACCCTATCGAGGGCACATTAGAGAATCCTGTAATGCAGTTACCTTAATTGCCTCCCAGGAGGTGCTGAAAAATACCAGAACAGTGTTTGCATTTGTGGCGTTGCCTGCCATAGATTACACTACCATAGGCAAGCTTTTGGAGATACGTGTTCCTCTTGGTTCTGATGAATCAGAAAAGAATATGGAAGAGAATGTGACCTGAGAGATCAATCTCACAAGATATCTGAGGCACACACTCTTTGCAAACTCAAAAGACCACAAATGAAGGGGAAATTCAGCTGTGAATAATCTGTGTTATTTGGCAAAATCAGTTAGTTAATATTGGCTATTACATACTAACTTTCTGAAGTTAATAAACCCAGACAAACTTACGGATCGTAGTCGTATTACTAGTATTACATGGCCCTTCCTTCTTGCCTGTCAGTCCAATTCAGTATCTCCTTTGTGAAAAGACCAGCCCGGCGGCCACCTGAAGGATCTGCTGACAGTCCAAAGCCTCTCCCCATCTTCAGCCAGAAACCTGCGTATTAGGTTCCAAGGGGCAAACTAGAGGCCAGTCCCTGGTTCAGAGTAAGCCACAGGATATGCCGGTCAAATAAGGATCTCTCATTTTGTAACAGTCTCCCACACACTTAAAAATAAGTAGGCCATGACCCAGATCTGAGCGTGCTGGTTTTTCAATTCAGAAATCTAACTGAAGTCATCTTACCCTTGCCCAGCTTAATGGTAACATAGATGTCTTTTTAAAAAAATCTTCTGAGTTGCTTTCCTGGAGTGTATGGTGTAACCTTTGTCGTAAATATCAAATACTCATAGGGGTAAGCTGTTTCTCACAATGTCATCCAAATACACGGAACAGCAGCTGTAAAAGAAAAGACATCCACTTCTTGTATCAGAAGTATTACACTTCTGGGTGGCATTTTTATTAAAAACAAGCATCTCTAGAAAAACAGTGCTGTGTGTCGTAAGCGGCTAAGAGGGTTTTCATGAGATTGGGCACAGTCTTGTCCCCATTAGACTGCAAGCCCTGTGAAGACCCTATCCTACCACCTCCGTATCTGTAGTTCTTAAACACTATACCTTGCACATAGTAGGCACTCAATAAAAATTTCAACTACTGAATCAACCAAAGAGAATATTAATAGAGAAAAGAAGCTTTTAAAATTTAATACAGCTTCACAGGGAATCCTGGGGCCCTCCTATTTCCCTGGAATAAGGAGCCAACAACTATTTTTAAAAAATGTATCATTTCTCCTTGTAATTGTTTATATTAAGAAATTCGTTTTCCTGACACATGGGACACCACCCATTGTACAAACTTTTTAACCACTTAACTTTGTGCTTTTAGAGGGGAAAAAATACCTTAATGACAACACAAAATTGTGTAATAAGTATCATTGGCTTTTGAAAGATTCAGCTATATCCTGTTCCATTTGTTTCATTTTAAGTGATACATTTGCAAACATGTCATCACTTAACTTGGGTGTTTACCTTATCATTGTACATTCTGAGCAGGCTATGTTGCTGCATGAGATTGCTTTTTCTCCGACAGAACATAGTCTAGATGAATGAAAATGGATTAGAAGCCCCTTACCACAGGGGCACTTGGCCTTCACTGCTCACCAGGGTGGCTGTCTGACTGTTCTCATTCACACCCTGCCTGCATACAGCTTCCAGAATGAGTCCAACCTGGTTGCCTTCCTTCTCTGGAAAAAATGATGCTAATGGAGGAAATTGGTCCATTTGCATTACTCACTGTGCCCAGTAAATTCTCTTTTAAAAAAAGTTAAATTTCAGTGTAGGAGGGGCAGTCTTTATAATGCCTTTTGACAAGCGTCTCCTCAGAGTGAAGTCCTGCAAAGTGCTGGCACCACAGAGTTGATTCTAATCTCTCTTGCCCCATGAGTTTATGGGGAGGCAAAACCCTAAAACTTCAGATGTCAATGGAGAAAACATTCAGTGCCATAAGGATCATTTTAAATCTGGGAAAGGAAGACCTTGCTTCTCTCTGAGTTCTCTGTTTGTCCTTGGAAGTCAAGGTGAGGCGTCCCTGGCCACGGCAGACATCCACTCTCCTTGCTGTCTGGAGGGTTGCCCTTTACCCTTTCCTTCTGCCGGAATGCTGTGTTCCTTCATCCCTAATTTCTGCCTGTCCCTACATGGCCCACTTGCAGAATTAAAGCATCATCAGTGATTAGAAAGTTCTTCTGCTTCATTTCATCCCTTTATTTTACCTTCTGTGATTGCTGGTGAAGGGAGAAATTTCCAGAGGTCAACACCTTTTCTGGAAAAGACAAAGAGCATAGTTCATCCATAGTCTTAAGATTTGGCTCCAGTCCACCTTCCATCACACCCATTTTTCCTTAAGTGGAAGTTCCTTGTTCAGAAAAGACTGGGGGGAGAGGAGGCTGCAGTCAGGAGGTAAACAAAGGACCCCTGTGTGAACGTAGAGCCAATGCCTGTCGGTATTCTCACCAGACACCTGACAGTTTTGCTCTCACCTCCTCAAATGTGGTTGAGTCGCCATTCAGAGGTGAGCTCACATTCCAGCCGTCCCTCTGGAGTGGTTCACACCAGGGGGAGGAGAAAGGAGCGCCAAACAACAGCCCAGACAGCTCGCCGAGAAGGAATTAACGTTGGGATTGTCGCTGTGTTGTGGTTTTGGCAGCGAAGTTTTGAGAGGCACTATTGCCTCCACCCTATCATTAGTGGGTGGGCAACAGTGATATAAAGTAAGAGATGAATTAGGATAATAAGAGGCAAAGGAGAAAGGAGTAAATTTTCCACAAGTATTATTTTTCTCTTCATGGTTATTTAACTTTGAAACAGAGCTTGAAAGTGGTGATCACAATCTGCAGTAGACAAAGGACAGAATGTGCGAACCAGACAGGAAGGTGTGATTGCCTTTATTACATTAACTAGAAACACACAGAAGTAGGCACAATTTTCAGGAATACACTGCTATTTCCATTATAGCAAAACAAAAGGAAAAAGTCTTGTGTGGCCTACTGTGCCGTCTCCATTTGTTTTCTTCTTTTTCTTAAAATTGATGAATGTGTATCCCTGTAAGATAGTCTGTGCATCTTTTGCTTTTCTCTGTTAGTTTCTTGAGCTGTTCTTTGGATCATTTTATGACATGGATATATATTACACTAAAGCAACATACAGAGGAATGATTGAAAGCACAGAAAAACCTTTAAATAGGGTGAGCAGGTGTTTTAGCTTCTGCACAACAACTGTCTGCAATGCTGTACTCCAAAAATAAGCAGTGAGACCACTCTGTGTGCATTCACTGATTCCTCCAAGATGTAATAAGCTCCTGCAGTGTGCCAGACACTTAGGCACTTGAACAAAACAGATGCCACTGTCCCCAAGGAGCTTACACTCCAGAGGGGGAAACAGACACCAAACAAATCACCCCCTCACAAATTGTTAGAAATACTCTGAGTGAAAATGCCTTGTGAGCAGTATCAAGGGGACTTATTTCTACTGGGGGTGGGAAGGCCGCACTGAGGCCTTATAATGGGAAGCTCAGGGTGCATTTTTAAGGCGGGGGAGAAGAGGATGATTTAGAGGCAGAGCCAGAAAAGGCCCAGAATGAAAACAAGTATGTCTACACCTAAAGAAGTGCAGAAGTGAATCAAAGGCAACTTTGCTTCCTCTGAATAATTCTGTACATGTTTTCATTACATTCTGATTTGAAAATAACAGTGATCCTATTTTCTGTACTCTGTTTTTCACCAGTGTATAACCTTGTAAGGGTCTGAGTGAACTTTTGCATTCAAGTGTTCTGTCAGTTTCTTACAGCACTAGCGCTGTTCCTATTAAGAAATTAAATTGCTTTTGTTATCTGCCCACACTTAGAACTTTGGCTTCATATTATTCCCCTCTGTTTATTCAGCTCCTACAGAACCTTTATTGTGTAAGTTTGCGGATGGAGGACAGAAGAAGAGACAGAACCCAAACAAATACATCCCTAATGGAAGACCATGGCATAGAGAAGGAGAGGTGAGACTTGTAAGTCCTCTCTTGACTTTAGTGTGGATGTATAATTATGACAGCCTACATGGATAATTACGTAAGCAGCATCTTGACTTGGACACTACCCCTCTGAAATAGGTGCCCGAATTAATTTATAAATCCATATAATGTCACATTAAATATCTTCCCAGTGGATGTGGTGGTGCTAAGACAGTGGTGATTCGCCAGATGGACAAATAGATGGTGGGAATAGCTATGTTTACTGGTTTATTACTTTTAAAGTAAAAGAGCATCTTAAATTGCTATTTGAAATGCACAAGTTTTTTTTAATGTCATAGTTTCTTAGAGTTTTCATTGTAATTATGCAGAAGTTATCCTGAATATCATTATTAAAATCATAGTATATTGAGATTTTTCCTTAATTCTTTTGAATAATTAAAACTCAATTTTTTAATAAAATCCTTGGATGTCCATTTCCCCATATTTAGTTTCTTCAAAATTTTTTTTTAAGTAACATGCTGGTTTGAGAATGTCTAGAGAAGTGCCATGCATAGAAATGTCCTAGAGTCTGCACTGTCCAGCAATAACCACTTAGCCACATGTGGCTGTTTGAGCACTTGAAATACAGCTAGTATGCTGGAGAGACTCCATTTTTCATTTAATTTTAAATAACTGTAAGTGACTAATGACTACCATAGGAGACAGTGCCAACTACAGCTTAATTCTCATACTGAATTTATAATTACCTTTGTCTAACAAACTCCTTATTTTGTCAGATTCTACTAACCTATCACTGTTTTGTGTTGCTGTGACTTTAAGACACAAACTTTGTAAATCATGCCTTTGTAGATGAATGTTGCTATTTCCTTTTCTTTCCCATAGGCTGGAATGACACTTACTTATGATCCAGCCACAGCTGCTATACAGAATGGGTATGTCATTAAGATAAATATATAATAGCTTGAGGGAAAATGTGGAGGTGGGAAATATCAGATATTTGTTCTGTGAATTAATCTGTTGAAAGGATTACTCAATAAAGGCTTTTGTGTTTGTTCTAGATTTTACCCTTCACCATACAGTATTGCTACAAACCGAATGATCACTCAAACTTCTATCACACCCTATATTGCATCTCCTGTGTCTGCCTACCAGGTTTGTACCTTTAGCGTTCATCAAGAGTATGACAACTTGCTGGCCATGAATCACTGCTACATTTTTATGTGTCTTAAAATTTTGAACATTTACTGTGAAATTTAAGCCAAATGTTAGGCAGGTTGGATACCCAATTTAGAATAAGCTGCTTTTTGTTTGACAGAGTGATTCACTTTTATGTATAGGAGAATGTAAAACAAGGGAAAGTGATTGTTAGCTGTCAGTCCTTGAAGTCAGAGCATTTTAGAATTGGGAGAAACCTAAATATCTCCTCAGCAGCAGGCCCTGCTGTTGGGCACCATGTGTGCCAGACGTTGAAACTGAAGAATTACCATCAGGTGAAGCACAGAATAGGTGTGCCCCCTTTACCTTTGTGTTTCAGCAAGAACCAACAGGAAGATCGAGTAGACATGGTAGCAGGTAAAGATGTATCTGTTAGGTAACGTTAAATGAGCAACGCGGTGAGATTAAAGGCCAAAAAAGGGAGCGACTCCCTGTTTAGATGATTTTGTGAGGAGGCTTTACCAAAAATAAATTCCCTACTTAGAACCAAGGTCCCATTAAGCACTTGTTATAATCCTGATGTGGTTTCATTGCAGGCCTAGCTCCTATTCTCCACAAACCCAGGGGTACACATGCATTTCTCCTCTGGTATCAGAGCGCCTCTCACAGGGTCACTGCCCAGCCCAGGCAGGAACATTATAACAGAGTCCAAGTACAAACATGGGGAAATATAGTTCTCTCTTGTTGACTATTGAGATCCTGTGTGATGAAACTAAACTTTTGTGTATTCTTGTTTTTAAAACAACTGAATCAGATTTTGTAGCCCTGATTTCTGGGATTAGGGGACTACCATATCTAATAACTGTGTTATTTTACTTTTGTAAGCCTCAGTTTCCTCATCTTTAAAATGGGGATAATAATAGTTTTTCTCTCATAGATTGGTTATAAGAACTAAATGAGTCTATCTACATAAAGAGCTCAGCACAGTACCTGGCATATCATTAGCACTCAGTAAACGTGAGCTGTGGTCATCACCGTCATTATTAGTATACAGGATTAGCTGGCTAATAAGAGTATATTCCTTATACTTTAAAGAAAAGATAATGAATTGGTCACCGTAAGCAATATCATAACAATGGTTCTGTCTAAAAACAAAACTAGCTTTGAACAACAAAGAGGAAGTGGTTTGTGCGCTAACCCTGAAGTTTTAAAGTAACTTCCACAGCCTCCCCCAGCCCTTAGGTTCTCCTCTCCTCCTTTATCTCAGTTGTCACTCATTTTCTTTTCTCTCTCTGGGTTGTTACGTTATTTACGCTGGTGCTTCAGTCGGCTAGGCATATCATATACTCACTTATAATGCCTCTTTAATTATTTTGGACTTAAGATTTCCACATTTTCCTTGCCTATGTAAGATGCAGTAACCTCTTCTCTAGTGCATTTTCTGTAATTAACAAGCCTCTGTCTGATATTAAAAGGTAGTCTTCTTTCTTGACTATCTGAACTTGGAAACGTCTGCCGTTTATGTGTATCACTAAAAATCAGAACAAGTAAGCTTATTCTCAGGCAAATGAAAGATCGTGCATATTAATTTGAATGTATTCTGCTGTAGATACTATAGCCATTAATACATCTCCCCCACCACCTCTTTCTCCCTCCTTGTTCTAAAAGCAATGAGCATTTTTGCCACAGAATTTAAAAAAAAAATAGACCAGTGTTAGTAATAGATTTGATACATTTAACTGGAAACATTTCATTTCAAAGGTCTGATTTCTTCTCCTGGGCATTCAGTGTTTCCCCAAGATACATGTGGAATTTCATTCCATTTGCCTGACATTCAGTGCCATAACCTTCAGGACTGATTCTTAACCCCAGTACAATCAGATGATTGTACTTTAAATGGTCTGTGATTCCCTTGAATTGTCTTTAAAATGTTGCTTGTGTATTTGCAATTAGTTGCAGGGAAAGGGTCTATTTCTTTCATTGGGTTTTCAAAGGGACCCATGACACAAAACAGGGTAAAAAACTCCAATGGCAAAGAGTTCATAGAAATAGATTATTATTCCCATTTTATAGTTAGGGAAAATTGAGGAATAGAAATTAGCAGCTGCTAATTTGCTACTTAAGAAAGAAAATCAGATTGTATATCACAGCTCCCTAACCCCATAATGCTATAAGCTTTGAGATCATTAAGGCCATTGAAGCATACAAAAATGGGAGCATCTGGCCCAAACTGGGGTCTCTGGGGAGCTGCTCACCTCCCTGTGATTTGTTCAGTGAAGGCTTTGCACTCGTGGTGGAGTGGCCCTTCCGCTAAACCACCGTATGCTTATGTAACTGGCTTTGACAAATTGGCATCTGCAAGAATCCACCAGTTCCTCCCCCGAAGGGGCAAGGCTGCAGTCCAGATAACCGAAATGTTAACAAGGCAGAAGCACTTAACTTTGGTCTGCCTTAGGTGGCAAAGGAAACCAGAGAAAACAAGTATCGGGGCTCTGCTATCAAGGTAAAGCTCAATGCATTCTTCCCCCATGACTCTTCCCCATACCCTCTCTATAAAACCTCTGAAGTCAGCAGCAGGAATAAGATACAGGAGGGTTTTGTTGTTGAGAATTATAGATGAAGCTTCTTTTCAAAATTACGTAAGCATCAGGGAAGCTCGGGGCATCAATAAATGGCGTGATATTTTTTTCTCTTGAGTGGCAGACTGGATATGCTTTCCTTCCTGCCCCAGAATCTGCCTCTCATGTCTTATTTCTCAGTCCAGAGTTTGAGGGTCTAGTGTGGATGCCCTTTTGACGGTAGACGTCAAGATTTTATTATTGAAGTTTGATTTCCTAAACCTGACTTTAAGATTTTTATTTTCCACACTAACTAAAAATTGTTGGCCATCAGGCAAGATTTTTGAAACTTAATGTCCTGGGTACCAGAAGGGATTGAATTTGGTTATTCTTTTTAAATAAGCACATACTTAGTTTTTAATAAAATGTGCTGGAATTCTCATTCATTTATATTCCTAAAGCACCTCCTTCTTACCTTGATATAACACCTTTTCACTATTTGATTCGTTAACTTGTCCACCTCCCTGCTTAGCCAGTACGTTTCCCGAGGGTGGGGCCCATGTCTTGCCTTTTTCTCTCGCGCCTGATACTCAGTAAATACTTCTTGAGTGGGCGAGTGGAACTTCGTTTTAAATGATCATTTCATCCTATTCAGAGTGACCAGTTTGCCAAGAATTCTGCCTTAATCTTTGCAATCATTGATAGTATGATTGTTTCTTTATTTTCCTTCTATAGATTTTAACATGATTAAACGAATTCTAGAGAAACAAGTGGCATTCCAATGGAAATCAATGTTGTTGGTTTTTTTCCAAAATCCTCCCTTTTGCAGGTGCAAAGTCCTTCTTGGATGCAACCTCAACCATATATCTTACAGCACCCCGTAAGTTTTTCTTCTTAATGGTTTTGTGGTTTGTAAATAAGCTATGAATATGTTAAAACACCGTTCTCTGGCTTAAAAACCATTTGCCAAAAATGGTATAGGATTTGGGAAATTTTAAGCATGGAGTATGAGAATGTACAAGTTCATTATAAAATTTCCACTGACCCTTGTCTTAAAATGAATTGGTAGTTGACATTAAGTTAAATTTACAATCTGTAAAAACACAAAATACATCATATTTGAGTCAGTGTACCATTTTCTTCCTTATGCCAGTTCTGTAGGGAGAGATCATTTGACTGAGTTTTTTAAAACTTTATATTTAATTAAAAGTTTTTAAATTGCTGAGTTTTTAAAAGTACTTGGGATGAAACTGCTGTCATTTTTTACATTCTGTTGAATGCAAATATAGTGTTTAAAACTGAGCTAAGATTTTTCTGTCAGTGTTACTTAGCCTCTCCATTGAAATTATAAATACTAAAGTAGTAACACCTACTTTGGTAAATAACAATGTAATTTCTTTAGTGATGTGACTGCTTATATATAAATTATAGTTTTTCAATTGAGTGGGTTAACACTTGACCTTATCAGTGTATTTAATGTTTTTCAGAGATACATAAAATCCACTTTGTTGGATTAAAATACGGGTTTTAAAAGTTGAAAAATAAAGATGGAGAATAAAAATCACCAAAAGAGCTAAGAATGCCCAACAGAGTGACCTATACGCTTGCCGTGAGAAAGCTGCATGTTTGGGGATAAGCTTTCTAGTAACTCAGGCAAAGTGGGAATCTGGATAAGCCATGCAGTTCACAGTACTTGTAAGATAAAAACAGATCAGCTGCTTAGGTAAAACACTATTCTTGGCCTTAAGCTGAGACAGGAATTTCTCTTGGGATACCTTCTCAAGAGGACACTGCAGTGTAATGTTGTTACACACTGTGTGTGGAACAACAATCCAGGGAGAAGTCGAAACAGGGAGGTGCTGAGATGACTTTGAAGAAGCAGATGAAACATATTTAGTTGCTAACACATGAAAAGAGCTTGCTGGCAATGTTGTGCATCTAACATGCACACATTTCTGCATGCAAACATGTTTATGCACACATCCATCCACAATCCCACAGCACTTAACACGTGCACACATATTTACACCCACGAATCCACACACCTGCAAATGTCCATGACAATCGAGCTCTCCGACACTTTGCACTGTCCTGTTTTGGAATGCTGGAAATCAGCTCACTTCTCATGTGGGGGCTTCCTAGTACAGTAGCTCCTACAAATGAATGAGAAAAAGGAGCAGGAAACTCCTTCACCATATTCTGGGCTTCTGAGTCATTTCCTTGTTACCACACACTCTTTGATGATGCACATTAAAAAGTTTAAAAACATTTTTTCTTACAAAATGTATTGGTAACTAACTATCTCTGATGTGCACACACATATATACATAAATAGAGAGGGGGGACAACTTTAAGAGAGAAAAGCTGCACGTATCTCAGTTTAACGTCTTTGAGGAGGCAGAAGTTTCCCATCTGAGGATTCTTTTCCTTCCCCACCCAGATTTAGACTGCCAGCAGCCAGCAGGGTGCCTGCATACCAATCTTGCCCTCAGTTGTGTATCTGATTATCAATAAATAACAGGTATTTAAGGGATAAGTCAGGTACAGTGATACGGAAAACGTAACATTTGTGGAGTGCATCAGAATAATTGCATCTCGGGTAACTGGGTGAGAGGAATAGTATAATCCATAAGAATAAACATTATATGTGATAAAGAAAATGCAAAAAATCCAGAAATAGACTTAATTAAGTTGCAGTTTATGCAATCAGTGTACCATTATGTGATCATTAAAAATGATGATAATGATGGTTATCCAGTAAGCTAGGTGACTGTATGCAACAGGTTGTTAGGCGAAGAGCAAGAATGCAGGAGGTGGGGTTGCTTATGGACCCTGGTTGCAGCTCCGTGAAAACATGCCGAGGCTGGAATCTGGGCCGTAGTACCCTTGTCGGGGTGTAGCCAGCATGATGTGTGAAAGGGAGGGTCGCTTATGGGTGACTTCGCTTTTCGCCTCTCCTCTCTGCTTTTTAACTATATTTAATTTTATTTTTAATGGCCAGAAATTTTTCAAATGAAATGAAAGAATCTGAACTTGGATTATTAATCATCTCTGAATCTGCTTGCCTCCCCAAACACCAAAGTATCAGTCAAAGTTCTGAGAAACACTTAAGTGAATGAAGAATGTGATCTTGATCCTAATAGCCTGATCTTGAATCAAGTAACTATCTCTACAGAACATTTTTTAAACAAAGTGCTGTTTTTGTAATATTCAATATAGTATGTTGTTTGTGGCTGCATAAACCACCATCTTTTTTTTTTTAATTAAGAAACTATTTTGTAACCGTAGCCAGCCAAAAATAGCTTACATTTCCTATTAGAGCTCCTGCTGGGCAAGGTTGCTCTATAGTTTAGGGAAGGTAGAGGGAGAGATGTTTAATACAGGATTTCTGTAAAGTATGCTCTTAGAAAAGTCTTAGGAAGCACAATCTAGAAGGTTTTTGGGAAATTCTTCATGATACCATTTGCAAGCTTGAGAGAAGGTTATTTCTGTGTTTCACATTGCTCAAAAACCTAAGGCATTTCCTGTGCGAAGGTGATTACAGCACCCTAACTGCTGCTCTGGGTTTCTCTTGCATTGCTCTCGCCTCCGGCTGCCCAGGGTGCCGTGCTGACTCCCTCCATGGAGCACACCATGTCACTACAGCCTGCGTCGATGATCAGCCCTCTGGCCCAGCAGATGAGTCATCTGTCACTAGGCAGCACCGGAACAGTAGGTGGCAAATTAATATCATGTGTCCTGGCAAACAGAAGAGGATAAATTAATGCAGCCTGTGTCTTCCCTGTCAAGTACAGGCTCTCTGGTGTCAAAGATGATGGCTAATCCCTTCTCCCCCCTGACTTTGCCTTCCACGTAGTAGATACTCAGATATTTCATGATTAATTGATGAACTAAAAGTCTATCCTCTGGGTATTTCTCCTTTACCAGAATATAGTGCCCATGCATGACCATATCTAGCTTTAATAACTGTCAGTCATTCGCATTGGTAGACCTGGTCTCATGAAGCAATAGATGAAGGCAATACATGGTGACAAGAGTCAGGAGATGTTTCTTCACTTATTTCTTCTTTTATGGAATCTGGGGACACTGAATCATGAGCTTAGTATTGACATATTTCCCCAAGGTCCCAGGGACTGGGTAGGGTATTGAGGTTCAGCTGATACCAGATTAACTGCCAGGGTTGATATGCGTAGCATTTAGATGCTAACATGGCCAGGGCTATAATTCAGACCATTATCTGTGGAGCTTAAAAAACAAGGGTAGTGTGTTTTCCGTGCTTACATTCAAAATCAGCATCAGAGTCTTGTGAAAGCTAAACCTGAGCCAACCACACACATCCAAGATCCGAGATCGACTAGAAAGCTCTGTTGCCTTTGAAAAAGGATGATGATTAGCACCAGGAAAGCAAGGGTTCATTTCCTCATCTGCAGTGAAAGTCATTTGCCCATTGGGTCTCCACCTATGGAAACAATTCTAGATACTAGTTCAGTGGGTCACTGGAAAATAATGAGGTCCTTCGAGGAGAGATCTTATAAAAGTAGCATATTGGTGATACTGAATTATTGAGGATGATAACTTTAAAAATCTTCACCAGTGTGCTTCTTTGTTAGCAAAGACAAAGAAAGATGAGATTTTCCTCTTGACAAATTCAAAAAGTGGAGAAGGGAACATTCACTCTGCCTTCCATATGACATATTTATAGGCACTGATTAAACTTCGGGGTAGCCCTTTTAGTTTCTTTGCACCTTTAAAATACTTGACATCCCACCTCAAAATTCCCGAAGTACTCAGGATTTTGCACGCCTTCTCATTGCCCATCCTGACCCTGTCCTCCTTTTCAGTACATGCCTGCGACGTCAGCTATGCAAGGAGCCTATCTGCCTCAGTACACACACGTGCAGACAGCGGCCGTTCCTGTAGAGGTTGGTACACACCATCCAGTGGCCATTCTGGCCTTGGGTAGTGTCGGAAATGGGTAAATTAGACAGAACTCAAAGTTAATCAAAAATCAAACATTTGCATGAAGAACTGAGCTTAGAGGTAGTCTATACCTAGAACATTTTCAACTACTATCTACTATACATGCAAATAAGTACAGCGATACCCAGACCACACCCCCAGGACTCCCAGAGATACATTGTCCAAGGTTGTGGCACATTTCTTACGCCTTCAAGGCTCTGTCTTATCTCCTGTGAAAAGATACTTACAGGCAAATTAAGATAAAGCTGGAGTTTGCAATCCTAGTATCAAAGATTATATCAGTAACAATAATTACAAACATAAATCAGTTATAATTAAGATACATGAAAAAACTGTTTCAAAACTGTAACAGGAATGAGGAATAAAGTATACCTGTTTCTTCTGGACGCTCTTAGTATAGCCACGTTGTTATTAGCTCTTGTTATGGAAGAAGTCTGACATTTGAATTAAAAGTGTTTTCCTGTGAAGTACCCTTAAAATTCCAAGGAAATTCATCAACCCAGTCAATCCGATCCTCTAGACAAATCCCATAGACTCCAATTCCAGAAACAGCCTTAGGACTGTGGCTGGATTTTTGTGGAGGGTTCTTGAATATCGTTTTGTTGGCTGCCAACTGATTTAAATTTGTGCAATTATGGACAACCATGGTTACCAGAACCCACGATCCCTTACCTGTGATTCTGAAACACCCAAAAAAATCTGAAAATAAAAATTCTCTTTGTAACTACTTTAGCAAAAAACCTGACCTGTGGTAAAACTCAGCCTGAACTGGTGCAAGACAAAATCTTTACCCCACTTAATATGCATATTGATATCTCCCAGTGTATACCTGTTAGTACGTTTGATTGGAGGGTACAGCCATTGGCCCCAGTGGGTATATTCTATGACACACAGAATATATATACCAAATTGCAGATTCTAAAATCTGAAAACACTGAATCCCAAGTCACATCTGGCCCAAAGGAGTAAGAGATTTGTTTGATAAGTAAATTATAGCTTGATATCAAGAGACTCTAGTAGAAGTTGGTGGGGGGCAGGGAAGTTCTTTGGGTCTGTCAGACATTTTAACTGCTTAGGGAGCTAATAAGCCTTGAAAGCTCTACATGACACTGGGGGACTTTAAAGAGTGCCTGTTCTTACGATGTTGGACTCAGACCTGCGAAGCAGAGTTTGAATTTCATTGCTTACCTCTCATCTGTTGCACTTTGTTACAGGAGGCGAGTGGGCAGCAGCAGGTGGCTGTAGAGACGTCTAATGACCATTCTCCGTACACCTTTCAACCCAATAAGTAACTGTGAGGTATGAGGGCAGGGTCTCCGAAATGATAGAGTTCAAGTCAAGGAAAGTCAGTGATTCTTCAAAATGGTGTTAGAATAACTCGGATTTGGTCACACTGCTCTCTCATCATGGCCAAGGACTCCAGTGTTACTGAAATGTCCAAATCAGTGGTTTTGTGCATTTGCAGATTGAGTTTTCTGTCCAGAAAGAACAGTGCCTTATACTGAAGTCAAATGTACATCTGCTCTCTCTCCCTCTCCATCACCCCCCAAAAATCTGTAACATATCAGAAAACACCAGGTACCAAATATGTCCTACAATACATGTATTCTACATTAATATTGCTTTAATGCTCACAAACTGAGGGAAATAACAGCATAAGATTTTGCTTAATCTAGCATTACAGTAGTAGCAGTATCTTGCCTCTGAATTTAATGTCAGTGTCTTTAGATTGAGAGATTTCATTCCCAGCTCTCACTTGGATCACAGATCTCTAAAGTTTTCACTTTGCTGTGCAGATTATAGTCATATAGCTCCATGGAATTTAGAACACCTGAGCTTCTGGACTGTTCATGCCAAAGTATGTTGCAGATACCAGACTTGAAAGGCAGACTCAAGCCATAGAAAGCCAGCCCTTCATTCCAGAGTCTGTATTCGTTGATCTGTCACCAGTGATGAGCAAGCCTTTTTCAAACACATGTATCTTTAAAACAAGAAAGAGATTACAGAGCTCTGCAATGCATTACACCTAATGTACAAAAAGCATTTGTCTTTTATTTTTCTTTTCCAGATGTACAGAAGGGTATCCTTACATGAAGAAGGGTGTGAAGGCTGAACAATCATGGATTTTTCTGATCAATTGTGCTTTAGGAAATTATTGACAGTTTTGCACAGGTTCTTGAAAACGTTATTTATAATGAAATCAACTAAAACTATTTTTGCTATAAGTTCTATAAGGTGCATAAAACCCTTAAATTCATCTAGTAGCTGTTCCCCTGAACAGGTTTATTTTAGTAAAAAAAAAAAAAAAATAAAAAGAAAAAAGAAGAGAAAAAACTTAAATTTTCTGGGTATGCACAAAGACCACGAAGACTTATCCAAGTGCATGACCGGATTTTTGCGGTTTTGTTCATTTTGCGTTCAATTTGTGTTTTTTTCAGCTGTATGAAATGGGCTTTCTGAAGTTTAAATAGTCCGACTTCACCCATGGTGTCCTGTGCTTGCAGTGCGAGTGTTGCTGTAATTCAGTGTGGCCGTCGGTGTCTTTTCTTAGCTTTCCGTTTTTCTTTCAACGTAGTGTGAAGTGTCTGATCTTTTTCTATGAATTCCAGTTTGCCTTAACTCTTTCGATGCTGTAGCTGTTCCAGTAAAAGTTAGTTCAAACTAATGATGTAGAATGCTTTGACCAAATAAGCTGGTCTATTTTATGCCTTGTAAAACAGCAGCATAGGGCTTTTCAAAGGTAGTCAATAAAAGTTGCTGAAATTTTGGCTTTTTTAAATATGTAGTAGGTGTTTTTAATGATTTTTTCACATAATGTGTAAGGTAGTGAAATGCAAGAAGGGAAAAACGTTTTGTGTGAAACACATTTTCTGACTGGGGAACTTTTAATAGGGTAAATTGTTTGTAAAGGCTGTATGCCAACAGTTTCCTCTGATAGTTTGACTGATTTAGGATATCTGCTGTATGATGCAATGTAAAGTCTTTTTTTGCCTTTTTTCAGGAAAAAAAAAAACTAGATGTTCTAGAATTAGTGTTCGGTAGCGTCGGGGCTGGGGGTGGGGGGCGGGGGAGGGGAGTCACCGAATGTTTCGTCCTTCCTTTATACTAATGATAGTGCTTTAGAACGAGAATTCTGCCTGAGATCTGGCAAACCGAAAAATGTTGCTATTGCAACTAAATGGCAAAAGCTAAAAGTAAGGATTTCTCTTCAAACACAAGCTGAGATACGAACAGAAGCAAAACGATTGGCTACTAGCTCTCTCTATTCCATAAATTTGAGAAATAAACATTACTTGGCACTTTTAAAGGTAACTTCACCAAAGACCGAAGAGCCAGTAACCAGTAGCTCCAACTTGTCTCAGCATCACATCTTCTGTGCTCTTTATTTTTGCCGGACCAGTTTGCGGTTAGAAGAATGTGCCTTTTTTGTACCTTTGCATTTAGGTTTTATAATTTCAATTGATGTATGGACACACACACACAAACAAACAAGCATGAAGGAAGATTTGGATCCAAGCAGTGCCACACTTTACGTCATCACTACAAGTGTTAAGTGTAAAGAAAAACCAATTTTGAAACTATGAAATTCCTGATTCATAAATACACAGTTATTTCTACTTTAGGACATAACGATGATTCACTGTTATTAAAGCTCTTTTATTAAGACAGTTGCATATGTTTGAAAAGCAATGGTAAATTAAGTTGTCTTCCAAAACTGTGTACTTGTCTGGTCCACTGTGTGTGATCAGTTATCTACCTCAGAGTCTATTTTCTTTTGTGCCGGGACAGGTTGCTGGCCCTCCCTGTTTCCACAGACCAAATCCTCCTAGCTCAGGAGCTAGGGCTAAGCAGTTATTTCTTTCGAGTATTTTTTAGTTCTTAAATTTTATGCTTGTATTTGATTATAGATGTCAGTGACATTTCATAGTTTCAAAAGTCCTTGCTGCTCTGAGAAGTGTAGATTCTAGTGAAAATTACATAGTCATACAAGAAATGTGTTTTTGTTTTTGTTTCTGTTTCCTTTTTTAAAGTTGTGGTATTATTGGTTCTATGCTCCCTGGAATATTACTGCTTTGTGAAAGTCCAGACTGAACGCAGCCCCCTCCTTGTACTTAGTACATTTATAAACCTGGATCTCTCACTACTTGATATTTTTGCATTAGTTAAGACAGCAATTTGATAGCTCAGTTAGAGGGGAGGGGAATTCTGCTGCTAGAAATGTCTGAACTAAGTGCCATACTCGTCTGGGTAAGATTTGGGAAACATAACCTCTGTACATAAAAAAGAAAAAAAAAATCAGTTAAACATCACATAGTAGACAGCCATTAAATTATAAAAAAAATTAATTTATGAAGAAAGACCTTTTGTACAGATTGAAAAAAAAAGATTTTCATAGAGATATCTATATGATCAAGAGAGTTAATTTTTTATTTTTGTTTTACTAGTGCCACAAACTTGCCAGTGGTAACTTATTTGTCCGGTTCAAGGTAACTCTGTAGTTTTCTTTCCTAGGACTTGTTGTTAAACGCCAAAAGACATTTTTGAACTGTACATTTGATCAGATTGTTAGCTTTTTCTGTTTTATTTCTTTTGAGAAACTTTGAATAAAAAACATCTGAAATTTTGTTTTTCCTGTCATTTCTTAAAGTAGACTTTATTTATACATTTCTGATCTTTTTTCAGCACAGTAGATGGTTTGAAAGGTGAAGAATATTTCAGATTCAATGATATACTCAAGATATATTTCCTTAAAAAAATTGGGAAGACCTTTCTACTCTCCTCCTTTGATTATTTAAATCTTTGTACAGGGACCAGAGACATCAACCATCCATCGGCTTGCCACATTTCATCCCAGCCAAAGCCCACCTTTGGTATGTTCTTAAACACAGCCAGACCATTCTCCCCCATCCTTCTTTGACTGTGGCAATGCCCAGCAAGGAGGACAGAATAAAAGCAGTGTCCCATCTCTGGAAAGCAAAAGCACAGGTAGGGACTACAGGATATTCTTATCCGTGCCTTGATGGCGGCGGGGCCTCCCTTAGTGACCTCAGTTGGCTGTTCCCAGTAGGAGGCGCCAGTGCAGCATTCATGGGCGGGGATAGAAAATTTACCCGGGCTTAACTCCCTTCACCCAGGATGGAGTAGATACTTGAGAAGTGAGGATTCTTTTTCTGTGCAGTGAACTAGGTGAGTGGCCTTCGAGCACGTCATTTGCCAGGGCCAAGGAACTCCGGCACTCAGTGGCTCTTTCAGGAAAGGAAACACACTGATGATAACCAGTGCTCCAGAGAGCAGCGTTGGGCGGAGGCAAGTGTGGCCGCATTGAGACAAATGCCGGCTTCTAGGAATGCAGGCAGGTGGAAGTGCTGTTCTGGCTGCTAAGCACCTTAGGCTTTGTCGCATTTTTTTAGGAAGGCTTTATGTCCCTGGAGTCTTGGGACATCCAGTGGCTGCCTTTACATGGAAATTAAACACATTTTCTAGAACACCTTTTCCATCTCTGCAAGAGGGAGGCACCAACTAGAGTGGTTCAGAGACAATTGCCACTCCTATGGGGAAAAGGCCTGCCCGGCATTTCGGGCAAGCCCCACCTTGCTGAAAGGCTGAGGGTGCTCCAGGCATCAGGAGCCAATATTTCCTCTGTGAGATGGGCTGGGACCCAGCATGCAAAGGCAGAATCCTTGGCTTGGAAGCGGGGAGAAGCCCTGGCGCTTGCTGCCTGTCGTGGTGGCTGGGTACTGCCCGCTCTGCATCAGCTGGGACGAGGCGGGGCCGCGGGTGAGCCGAGGAGCCGGTCTGCGCCCCGCCATCCCTGCCCTTCATGGGCAGCGGCCCGGGTCGAACCCGTCGGGCCTGAACTCCACCTCCTCTTGATTTCACGCACACTGATTAACAACTGAGCAGGAGAAGGGCCTCCCAGCCCGAGGGGGGCCCAGTAGTGTTCAGGTCTGAGTGGCGTCCCTCATCCCACTGGAGCCAGAAAGCAGAAGGTCGGCCGCCTTGCCGTGCAGGTCTGGGCCCGGCCGCCCACGCCCGCCTCCCCGACACAGATCCGACGAAGATGTAACGCGGGTGACCAGGAGGAGCAAGCGGGGCTTGGGCTGTAAGAAGAGCCGGGCAGCCGCTTCCCCGCAGCAGCGCGGTGCGGTCACCACCCCTCGGTCGGCCCCGGGGACCCCGGCGGCGGGGAGCCGGCGCGCGGCTGGCAGGGGGCGCTGCGGGCGGATCCACCCCGAGGCGGCGGGGCCGCAGCCCCCCGAGCTCGGCCGGGCGGCCCGGACCCGCTCCGGGTGGGCGCCGGGCGGGGGCTGCGGCTGCGCCGCCGCGGGGAGGGCCTCCGAGGCGACCTGTTGGCCCGGGTGGCTGGGGCAGGGGAGGAGGGCAGACCTCCTGATCGGAGGCGCAGGAAAGCGCTGGCACGCCTCTGAGCTCAGAACTGAGAACAGGTGGCTGGATTAAATACGTATTTTAATGCTATAATTCTTTTGTTTTTTAAATATGACCCTGAGAGACTGAGGTTTAATCCAGGTTATTCCTTTGCTCATTTACACAAGATAGGGATGACGAAATGAGACTCGGCAGGTATTTTAGACCCTCGAGTATCCCTGAAGCCCCCTCATCTGCTTAAATACCTCCAGGGAGAGAACACTCCCCATGTCACCTGGTATCCTGTCGTTTGAGAGCAGCTCTCAGACTTGCTTAAGAAACCAACATAGTTAAAATGGTCGCCATCCAAAAGACAACAACAAATGCTGGCGAGGATGCGGAAAGGGGAACCTTCCTATATTGCTGGTGGGAATGTTAAACTAGTTCAACCATTGTGGAAAGCAGTATGGAGGTTCCTCAAAAAACTCAAATTAGAAATACCATTTGTTCCAGGAATTCCACTCTCTTAGGAATTTACCCTAAGAATGTAGGATCCCAATTTCAAAAAGACATATGCACCCCTATGTTTATCACATCACTATTTACAATAGTTAAGAAATGGAAGCAACCTAAGTGTCCATCAGTAGATGAATGGATAAAGAAGCTGTGGTACATACACACAATGGAATATTATTCAGCCATAAGAAGAAAATAAATCCTACCACTTGCAACAGCATGGATGGAGCTAGAGTGTATTATGCTCAGTGAAATAAGCCAGGCAGAGAAAGACAAGTACCAAATGATTTCACTCATTTGTGGAGAATAAGAACAAAGCAAAAACTGAAGGGACAAAACAGCAGCAGACTCACAGAACCAAGAATGGACTAACAGTTGCCAAAGGGAAAGGGATGGGGGAGGATGGGTGGGAAGGGAGGGATAAGGGGGAAAAGGGGGCATTACGATTAGCACTCATAATGTGGGGGAACGGGGCACGGGGAAGGCAGTATATAGCACAGAGAAGACAAGCAGTGATTCTATAGCATCTTACTACGCTGATGGACAGTGACTGTAATGGGGTATGTGGGGGGGACTTCATAATGGGGGAGTCTAGTAACCATAATGTTGCTCATGTAATTGTATATTAATCATACCAAAATAAAATTTAAAAAAAAAAGCAGCAACATAGCATCTTTGGAATGTCTGCAAGCCTTCTCAGCCTTCTTTCTGCCAACTGAGATGCTACAGAATGCGTCATGCGTCGGTCCTTCCCATTCTTGGAAACACTGAAGTACAGCGACAGGACGTATCCGTGATTACCAGCAGGTAAAGGCCGCAGGAGGAGTTTGAGGGGGATGATGAAACTCTTCTATAGCCTGATTGTGGTGGTTAAACAATACATGGGCTTAAATTCACAGACCACTACACCAAAACATGTCTAGCATGACTATTTACAAAATATTTTTGAAAACTGAAGTAAGTCAGTTAATTCTCAAATGAAAACTGCTGGCTCCAGGAGGCTTCTCTGGCTTGAACATTCCTTGTAGCTGTAATTCTTCCTCATCAGCCCTGGCCCCACATTCGCTGCCATCAGGGGACTTCGGATAAAACCCAGAACCCCGGGGCTAGTTGGGGCATCACCTCTTTCCCAGGCTCAGTCCCATCCTCTGTTATAGGAGAGAGGGTTTCCTTTTAGAATTGTCAGACACATCATAGTTCTTAAAGCCCATAGCCAATTAAAATCCCCATGTTTTATTTTTTGTCAGAATGATTAATTATAAAAAAGACATGCAATGAAATATATGTAACCATTTTTAAATAAGGACATTTCAGTGGCATGAAAGATACTCAGGTTATAATATGAATGGAAAGTGTTAAGTACGGAACTGTAGGTGTACCTAACCTGCACATAGTACACAGTACGTACACTACATGGGCTGGGGGGTGCGTATCTGTTGTGCGCTCCTAATCATGAAGAAACATTTAAGTGTAAAAGATGAGACAGTACTTCAAACCGCTTAGCTGTGGATGGATGGAAAGATTATGGAAAGTTTGTATTTTCTCTAATCCTTTTCCAAACTTCCCCTTTTCTATAATGAAAACATTTTATAATCAGGGAAAAAAAGAGTTTTAACAAAGACTGTTGTCAGATCCTCCTGAAATAATGCGAGCCACGATATATATTCATTACATTCCAGATTCAGCACATACTTGGTTATTCTTTTTGCATTGGAAGGTAGTGCTCCTGACACCAGAGGACACAAAGATGACACGATGTGGTCCTGGTCCCCGTGGGTCCCAGTCTTTGTGGGGACACACAAGTATATACATGACATATTGCAAAGAGAAGTAACAAACGTACAGTCTAAATGAAGAGCTCCGGGAGGTCTGTGAGGGACCTGAGACGACGTAAACACTCTTTCCGGGGCCTCTTGCCACTTCCACATTACCACCCAGCTCCGTTTTTACTGATGAGAATTCCGAAGCAGTGTTTTCCTCAGTGTTCCCTCTGCCTTCTAAGAGAGGAAACTTCCAGGCAGACAAATGAAGTCTTTGGGAGCTCTGCTCTTGCCAGAATGAAACTTGGAGCAGATGTCCTAAGAGCTGACGTTCCTTTGTTACTCCTGCTCTGAAAATACTGGAATGTGTAGCAAGAACGTATCATTTTATTTTTGTTTTAATCAAGCAGGGTGTAGGATACTTTCCAAATAACATCATTTTGACTTTTCTTACTCTGGGTCAGCTGTTCTGCACATGCCCAGACTGGATCTGCAGACACCTGTGTAGTTTTCTGACCCCTTCACTCTATCTTGGAAACTCTTACAGACGTCTTTCTTCACAGACGTCTAGGCAGGAATCCCATTATATCCACTTTGTTACACGTTGTACTTTGACACATGCCCAAGACTGAATATTGTTCCTGGTCTCCTGGCCTCTTACTTTCTCTTAAGAAATACTGAAGGAACTTCTTCCATTCTTGTTATATGCATGGTCTTCCTCCTAATATCTAGTTCTGTTTTTAAGAGAAGAGTTTGTTTCCCTCAACTTTCACTCTTCCATTGATCCTTCTGTCTGTATCTTTGTTTTATAACTGTTTATTTTAGAAAGGTTTAAAATGACTTACAGGAGCACAATAAAACAAATTTTAAAATGAGGGTTTGAGGGAACAGTGAAGAGAGATAAAGAGAGGACAGAATGTAGCTCTGCAATCCAAAAGGCCCCCAGCATCCCTATAGCTGAACTTCAGTAATGTTGAATGTCCT